ACTTATATGTACAAATAAATCTTGTGAGCTAAAAAAGTACAAAAGCACAGCGAGACAATGATGTGGTTCAACCTGTGGATTCACTTCATTTATCACGCCATATGATGAAGCTTCCTTTGGTAAAACTGCCCAGATAAGAAAAAAAGTTTGCTGTCCAATACAGCAACTACACAAAGTGTGCACGTCCATCTCGCAGCGCCTTTTGGTCACTTCCGAAATGCGCCACCGACATGCCCGGGCACCTACCCAATCTATCGCCTACAACTGCCATGTTGTCTCCTCGTGCTTGCACCCGTTTAGTTTTGCCTCACGATGCAAGTTTGAGGAATTATGAGCTGCTAGTGAGGAAAGTTGATTTAGTAGTCCACGCAGAGGGAGCAGAGCTTAGGGTGTTTCTTCGCTGAAAGTTATTACCTAAAATTGGGAACGCACAATGTGATTTTCCTAAAAGTACCAGCGTATTTGGCTGGTGTAGATTAACAAAAGCTACTTGAAGAAACTTTGCAATATTTGCATCTTCAGGTGCAACTTCATTACGGGTAAGTTCCATAGCCAAGTATTTACCTACAAACAGATATAGCTTACCAAGATACTGTACATACAAACTTGTCCGCAGTTAAAATCATGATGGCGAGGGAGGCGGTTAAAATCGTGATGGCGATCCCGGAGATTTCGGTATTGCATTGAAACAAACTGATAAAGAATGGGAAACAATATCAGTTCACTTTGAAGTATAGCCGATCGGTTCAAGTTGGGGGTCAGGATTTTTTAAAAGTTAGTCAATTAATTCTACACGGTCTCGATCATGTTCAGTGACTCCACTGTACATTAGCGTACAACAAAAGCAAAATACAAAGTGAAAAGTGTGCCCCGCAGGGGCGCCTGCGCAAGTAGGCATTTGGCGTGTAGCGACACAACGGACCCGAGCTAACGGGGGAGTTTCGACTCTCTCCCACGCCTAGCCGTGCGTGGCTTTGCTGTGTCCGGGGAAAAGGGGATCCTGGAGGTTGAGCCAATGCTGGGTGATTGGACCTTTAAGGCCCCCCGGCAGAGACAACACACCCCTTTGGCCCCGGCTTCACGTAGACGGCACCCCTGGGCTGACCCACCCAGGGGAAATCGGCAGTCGCCTTTTCCTATCTCTCTCTTCCTACATCTTCGTCTTTATCTCTCAGTTTTTATCAGTCCTGTCATCTTCTCTGTTCCGTTTACTTCAGAATTTCCTGGCGGCGAGGGTTAACGCTGTGTAGTTACCCAACCTTGGGTAGTTATATTCGGTTATAGCGGTAATGCATGGCTGGCGTCTCCAAGTGTTCACTAGTCAACCTTGTAGCGTCCCCTTGTTGGGCTCGGTGGTGGGTGGCCACCATCGCCGCCGCACTTTAATGTATTTTTATGGCAAAGGCTTTTCTCCCCTTCCTGATCGCTCCCTAAAAAGGTGGCGCACCGAAAATACTTTCCTGCCTAACACATCAAAGCCGACATTCCCAAAGCACCATGTAATCCACAGTCAAAACGAAAAGAAGATAGTCCGAGCCATTTCACCTTTCCTCGTTTCCAAAACTCTCGCAGAAGCAATAGGCCCAGGTTATAAAGTGACAAAGATGGGAAATGCCGATCTTCTTCTGGAGGTTCGTGACAAAGCTCAGTATGAAAAGCTGTCTAAGCTTGTAGCCTTTGGGGAAACCCCTTTTCGGTGGGCCCACACAGGTCCATGAACACTGTCCGTGGCGTAATTTTTGATGATGATCTAACTGAGCTTTCTGAAAGCGAGCTGCTCGAAGGTTGGCAGGACCAGAACGTGGTCAAAGTCCAACAAATAACAATAAGGCGCAACAACAAACTGACCCCTACAAAACACGTAATAATTACCTTCGGAACAAGTGACCTACCACAATCAATCGAAACCGGCTATTGTAAGCTTCGTGTAAGACCATACATTCCCAATCCTCGTCGATGTTTCAAGTGCCAACGTTTCGGTCATGGATCGCAGAGTTGCAGAGGGCGTGCCACTTGCGCAAAGTGCGCATCCATTCAACACATATCGGACAACTGTACCTCAGCAACAACTCATTGTTCGAACTGTGAAGGAGATCACTCTGCCTACTCACGATCATGCCCCGCATGGAAAAAAGAGAAAGAAATAGTAGAACTTAAGGTTAAATTCAATCTCACATTCCAAGAAGCACGCCAACGTTTTGCAATACACAACCCATCTTATCCGTCCTTTGCACATGTGACGCGCCGGGGCGCCGAACTACATGCCTCGGCACCCGCGAATGTCACACAGTGTGTGGCCGCGGTCGTGCCGCCAGCGCCCCCGGCTGGAGCAGCCTGTACTGCTCCGCCACCTGACAAACGGGGCCGGCAGACCCCAGTGTCTGCTGTACCTCAGACCACTGCAGGCGCAGTTAGGTCCGAAAGTTCAGTGATTGTGCCTGCCCAGCAGGCACCATCCACCACCTTACAAGAGGTGATGGATACAAGTCCCGCTCCTCCGGCGCCTCAGACGCCGAAGGATAGGCGCAACTCCTTGGAGCGCGCCAAAAAAGAAAAACCTCGAATCACAGGGCCCTCAAAAGGCCCTGTAAACTAACGCAACACCTCTGTACACACAGCACCACACTACATTAAAATGGAACAAATACTACAGTGGAACGTCGGAGGACTGTTGAGAAACCTCGACGATATCCAGGAACCTTTACATAAACATACACCTAAGGTGCTGTGCGTACAAGAGACACACCTGAAACCTAAACGCACCAACTTTTTACGTCGCTACATTATCTTTCGGAAAGACCGGAATGATGCCATTGTACCATCCGGTGGTGTTGCCATTATAGTCAATCAAGGGATTGCATGCACACACCTCACTACAAACATCCCTTGAGGTGGTGGCTGTTCGAGCAGTTCTTTTGAATAAGCTCGTCACCATCTGCTCTCTCTACATACCTCCACAACACCGTCTTGAAAAGCATGAATTCGAGTCCCTCATAGAGGAACTTCCAGAACCTTATAATCTCCTGGGAGATTTCAATGCACATAGCAATCTGTGAGGTGACTCTCGCTGCGATGCTCGAGCTCGCCTGATTGAACAGCTCCTTTTTTCTTCCGGTGCGTGCCTGCTGAATAGGAAAGACCCAACATATTACAACATCGCTAACAATACGTACTCAGCAATAGACCTCAGCATAATATCCCTATCACTCCTGCCTCTACCTAAATGGGAAGTCATTAATGATTCATATGGTAGTGACCATTTTTCTATCGTCATCAGCACATCAATAACAAATACATGTCCTGCACAAGTTCCCAAATGGCTCACCGACAAAGCCGATTGGGAAAAGTTTCAAAAAATGACTTTATTATCTTGGACTGACATGGCGGCATTGAGCATAGAGGATGCTGTATGCTACTTTACAGCTTTCCTGGTTGATGCAGCAACAAAATGTATTCCCCAAACATGTGTACCGTCAAGCAAACGACGAGTACCATGGTGGAATAATGAGTGCCGTGATGCTCGAAAAAAACAAAAAATAAAATAAGGCATGGAGGTTGCCGAGAGACTCGCCCACAGCCGAGAATCTTGTAAACTTTAAGAACGTCAAATCGCAAGCAAGGAGGACGCGCCGACAGGCGAGAAGAGAAAGTTGGCACAAATTTGTATCGGGCAGTAACTCATACACAGATGAGTCGAGAGTCTGGAGCATGGTTGGTAAGGTGGCAGGACGAGGAGCACATTCGCTTCCTCTAGTGAACACACTAGGGGAGAGTTTGGAAGACCAGGCAAACACTCTCGGAGCGCACTTTGAACAGGTCTCCAGCTGAACACACTATAGTGAAGCGTTCCGACGATACAAAACCGATATAGAAAAACAGATTAGAGCGCAAGCCCACAACACATGAGGCATACAACGAACCTTTCTGTTTGGCTGAACTTCAGGCCTCACTTGCCTGCTGCAATAAATCTGCCCCTGGCCCGGACCGTGTGGCATATGAAATGTTAAAACACCTGCCCACTGAAACCCAGAAAGCTCTCCTCTCTCTGTATAATGCGATATGGTCTTCTGGCAAGCTACCCTCAGCCTGAAAGGAAGCTATCATTATCCCAATTCTAAAACAAGGCAAGGACCCGGCCTCAGTTTCCAGCTATAGGCCAATAGCATTAACCAGCTGTATTTGCAAAGTGTTTGAAAAAATGATTAGCAGGCACCTGATGCACTTCCTTGAAATTGGTGGCCTACTTGACCCATACCAGTGTGGGTTTCGAGAGGCTCGGTCTACCACTGACCACCTTGTCCGCATCGAAGCACAAATTCGCGACGCTTTTGTTCATAAGCAATTTTTTCTTTCTGTGTTCCTCGATATGGAAAAGGCATATGACACTACATGGCGCTTCGGCATATTGCGAGACCTGTCATATTTAGGTGTGCGGGGTAGAATGCTGACAGTTATCGAAAGCTACCTGTCCAACCGTACATTCCGTGTCCAAGTTGGCACTGTCTTATCTCGAGTATTTGTTCAAGAAACAGGAGTGCCACAAGGAGGTGTATTGAGCTGCACACTTTTCATAGTTAAAATGAATTCTTTGCACCTGTCGCTTCCACGAAATATTTTTTACTGCATATATGTCGATGATGTGCAGATCGGTTACAAATTGTGCAGCATCTCAATGTGCCAACGTCAAGTTCAACTAGGGTTGAACAACGTATCTCAATGGGCAAACGAGAATGGTTTTATACTCAACGCGCAAAAGAGCACTTCTGTCTTGTTCAGCCGAAAGAGGGGCCTCCATCCTGACCTCGACATTGACCTGCATGGGCAAGCTCTGTCAGTGAAGACGGAGCACAAGTTTCTTGGTCTCATATTAGACACTAAGCTAACCTTCATCCCACACATCAAGTATTTAAGGGACCGGTGCTTAAAAACAATGAACATTTTGAGTGTCGACATTGACTGTCGATCTGCTAGCTGAGGAGGCGCATTTCTACTTCTTGATCATACCTGGCCTCCAAAAACGCCAGCGTTGCCTCATTTTGGCTTCTCCCTGCTGCAAAAATATGTAAACAAGAAACATTGGACTTGACATACTGAATTACCTAAAGGGATACTGAATAAAATTTTTGCCACTCTAATTTTCAAGCAAACTGAAAGATTGGCTCCTGAAATGAATTGATACAACCCTCATTTGGCAAAAACTTTGCCTGCGTGGTGAGCCCTTCAGATTTAGGTGGAGACTCACCCCGCCCCCCAACAGACACATACTGAAATAAAATTCTGCATACACCCTGGTTGCATTGCCGAGATTGTGGAGCATTCCTCAATTGGAAGATACGACAGTGCTTAGCCGCTCGTCAGACGAGGTGACTACGTTAATCATCGAAGCTACACACATTGAAAAAAAGAAAAGAAGGTGCTTGTGTTAGCATGGTGTCATTAAGGAAAAAAAAGGAATTTCTAGATTTGTATTGTTTGTGTGAATAAGCGTTCACTATGAGCGGACGAAAGCAAGAGTTGTTGAGCAGCTTTTTATTTTCATGTGTATGGTATATATATTTATGCACTGCAGCAAATAAAAAATAAAAATCGGGTGTGAGTCAAGGCTCATCTGTGTGCCCAGTGTGTCCCTGTTTTCTTGCACTGTTCTTTCGTTACAGTGCTTGCAAACCATGTAGCCCCCTGACAAGCATTGACAATCTAGCATCAACTGAAGAAGACGAGCACTCTTGCTGGGGTCTCAGTACCATATACAGTAAACACTCGGATTTACAAACATAATTTTTACAAACATCTAAGAATTATTTATGCTTTGAGGAAACCCCCATTGGTGTTTCTAACTGTTTTGTGCAAAAATGTTTTGGTTGAACATATCTGAATAGCAAACATTTCAGTTGAATGGGCTTTATTACTGAAATTCTCATTTCTGAAATCAGTTCAATACATTTTTGTGTTCTGCTAGGCTGGCAGTGGCAGATTGAAATTCAGGAACTTTAACCAGCTCTACAATCCCCTGGAAAGTGGCAAGGCTTTATGTCTCGGCAACAAGCTATGCAACAGAAAGTGCACCAAACATTAACTCTCTGGACGACCTTGTGACTTCTATAGTGAATAAGTTATACATGATCTACTTAATAAGTTAAGGCCGTTTTATGCTGCTGAATAATATGCCCATAAGATATGAAATATAACTCTGGACTTCAAAGATTGACTGTTGCATCCATATTTGTACTTGAGCTCAAAACCACACTGTAGTAAAGTTAAAGTTGGTACTGTGATTGCACAATGGCACATATTACTTTGTTGTGATGAAATTAATTCTTTCCTGGGTGCCATCATGGTAGACAAGCCCTTTAAGCTCTAGGTTCATTTGGATAGAGCAAAAACTATGTTATGTACCTCTTAGTGATGTGCGTCGTCGTGGGGTCTGTTCTGTTGATGCAGCCAGTTGTGCTTGTGCACTGCCTCTAAGCAGTGGCTGTGACACATTTGTTGAAAGCTCTGAAAATGCAGAAGATTATCATGTTTATTGCTTCATGTCTACTGCCGCTGAAACTGTGCACTTCGGACACTAACTGAAATTGATTTGTCACGCGAATTTTAATTGTAACCACAAAATCAGTCTATGTTTGGGGGGTCCAGTATTGCTCGTTGCATAAACCACAGCTTGCTTGATGACACGCAGTGATGGAAGTGCTGCTTCAATTGATCCAAACTGCTCCAAAAGAGAAATGCTGCTCTGAAGTGTATTCTTTGTTACTAATTGCTTCAAACCTGCTGTGAGCCCCGCCGCGGTGGTCTAGTGGCTAAGGTACTCGGCTGCTGACCCGCAGGTCGCGGGATCAAATCCCGGCTGCGGCGGCTGCGTTTCCGATGGAGGCGGAAACATTGTAGGCCCATGTGCTCAGATTTGGGCACACGTTAAAGAACCCCAGGTGGTCAAAATTTCCGGAGCCCTCCACTACGGCGTCTCTCATAATCGTATGGTGGTTTTGGGACGTTAAACCCCACATATCAATCAAACCTGCTCTGAGATGACACTGAGAGTATGAGAATGCTGAACTTTTACTGTTTGACTGACACACAAGTCTTAAAGAAACTAAAAATAATCTGCGTACTACCATCCCAGTGTGTTACTAGTGTGCAGCATTATTGGCTCTGATCTTATATGTGCGACAAGAATTGGCATATGAAGCATACAGCTCGTAGGTTTTTTTTTCTCAGCTAGACATGCAAGCTACTATGGTCAAATTTGTTATATGGGACTGTGGTTACTTCTAAAATGTGGTGCTCAGCTTTTCCAGTTTGATTTCATATCTGCAACACATGGTAGTATTTTAAATTTCAGCTTATTGCACGGCATATTTTGGACAATCTGCTATTGTATGATATATTTAATTTATAATCACAATCACTGTTGCCTGTTTAATCGGAAATAATACTTTCGAGCTTATGCGACAATGCTCCGAACTCGTACTAATGTATGGCAAATTTAATATCTTCTAAAACACCGATAGCTGCTCTGAACTACCATTTTTTTCTGCTCCAAAAACAACTATGCATGCTCCAAAGTGAGCTCCAAAAAGTAAAAATGCACTTACATCACTGGACATCTGATAAAAATGGATGTGTCTAAAAGATTGCTATAAAATATGTCCGAAATGGCATTGAATACCTGTGTCTCTGTATGACCTCACATTATGGCACATCCAATATAATTTCTGCACAAGCTGACAAAAAGTGTCCATATGTCAGCAGGCAGTCATGTTTCATGAATTGTATTATGAATCATTAAATGCTGATAATCATACTGGCAGCAGTGGCATGCTCAACGCAAATACTGTCTGTTTTCTTTATAAGAGAACAAACAAAACATGAAACAAGCTTAGTTGTTGAACTGCCTAATCCAAGGTTGTAGGTTGAATTCTTGGGCGCTGTGGCTTCATTTCAGTGTGTGCGAAATGCAATAGCATTCGTGTACTTAACTGAGGTTGACATAAAAGAACTGAAAGTCGTAAAGTTTAATGCCGAGTACGTACACTACAACACACCTCATACTCATATTGCGAGTTTTGCAAGCGAAATCTCACAAATTGTAGCTATCGAAAACGTAACAAAGATATAAAGTTAACAAAATAATGTACCTCGCAATGGTGTACGGTTATGAGTGGCTTGGGAAGGCCCATCCGCACTTGTTGCTGGCGTGTGGCTTGCCTCATTGGCCGTGCCAGGTGTTAGCTCAGGCTCTGGAAAAATTGACCCCATCATTGTCACATACGAGACTCTTCAAAGTGATGACATAATTTTAAGTAAGCCTTTAATTTGCTTGTTACAATAGGCAACAATTTTAAAAACTACACATTTACACCAGTATACTTGCCCAAGTATTCATCATGCTATCAGTTGTGCTCACAACCAAAGAAAATCGGTAAATTTTACGTGGCACATGAAACCCACTAATAATTGCTATTAAAAACATGACAAGGAAACAACAATAATAATATACCTGGTGATGGTGTATGGGTGCCACGAACTTCTGTTGAGGGCCCATCAACAGTTGTTGCTGGCTCATCAACAGTTGTTGCTGGCGTGTGGGTCCGCTCATCAGCTATGCCAGCTGCGCTCATGTTGGGAGCTAGAAAAATTGACCCCATTATGGGCACACGTGATTCTTGAAAGTAATGACATAATTTCAAGTAAACCTCTAAGTGGCTCATTGCATTAAACAGGATGACATGAAGCAACAAAACACCTGCATAAGTAGGATTGCTGAAGTATTAAACAACGTAGGAAAAAATATTCACCATTCTAGCTGTTGCCAGTGGTGTCTGGGGATGTTATCACAATAGAGAGCGAGGCCATTTCTTCATTAAAAATATCCATTCAGTGCTACGAGATGGTATGGCTGCATATGCTCAACCAACAACAGCAAAAACAAAACAGTGTTATGCACTAAGCTATATAGATAAGAACAATGCAGAAGATGCGGCAGATTGTCACGCTGTCGACATGCACAGGAACACTGCTGTGCAAAATAAGTGAAGGCAGTTTTACCTAACAACCGCTTTTACAGGTTTTCAAGAGTATGTTGGCAAAAATGTGTATAAGTGCCTCACCAATTCTTTGTTATAGTGAATTATGTTGAAACTTGAATATTTTTACATACATTGTGCCTCAGCTGATAAGGGCCAGTCAAAATGGCAGCGTGTGGCTGGATCGTCCATATCATTTGCAGTATCTTCATTCTCCCTTGCACACATGCTACGCAGCAGTGAAGCCGCTGGGGTCACTGCGTCACCTTGTACAGATGGAAAATATTAAAACACTCGAAATCAAAAACCAGTGCCTCTTTGTGATGTTAGTTAGACAAGTTCCCTAACATTTCACCCAGAAATAGGTGCATATTTGCTTTCGATCAGGCTGAACAACACCAGTGACCCTAAATGCTAGAAAGCATTGTTGCAGCACATCATTGCAAATTTGTGAACTTGATGGGACCGACAACCAGTAGAAATGTGTGACTACATCCAAGCAGAAATGAAAAACAAACATGGAAATAGTGACAGATTACAGCAGCCTTTTCGCATTGCAAGTAGGATTTATATTTTGAATATTTTTTTAAAAAGCAACCAAAAACAGGTATGTCCTACAGCCCAGAAGAAGCCCCTCGCAGCTAGATTCCCGAGTCTATTGCTGCTGTATGCAGTTGCATATTCCCATGCTGTCATGCATGCCATCATCAAAATTACAGCACGTATAACAAAGCCTGCTCTATTCTGTGTTTTATTTACTAGGCAAAAGGAGTTGCACCGTGAGAAGCGGTGCTGCCTTTTGAGCAGCCAGTGCACCTTGTTCAGCTGCTGCGTAAGCGCATAGAATGTGCACATGCACAGTGTACTGCCTTGCTCGGACACGAACCCAAGGAGGTTTAAAAAAAACTTCTGGAGTGGAGGTCCCCTATTCACGCCTACGCAAGCGGGTGAAGCCGGGGAAACCGGTTGGCGGCCATCTTGCTCCAGGCACGAGAGAGCGCAGACAACGTATCCAGCGCGCTTCTGTGGCGGCTTTTTCGAATGAAACGGGGCACTTAGTGTAATTAATTTCACTCGCATTTTTTTCTTCGTGTTAGATAAACAAGATCTGTACAAAGCCGTCAGTTACGATATTACACGTGAGCCGTACGTGATTACGTATTAGCGAATATGCATTACAACGGTTAGCTGCTGTAAGTGCGGATTCGCTTGCAATTCTCGAAATGAGGCTCACGGTGGAAGCAACACAGGGGTATATGAGTTTTTATTCATTCAAGGCTTTATAGAATTTCCAAAAGCACATACAATAAAACAGAAACAATTCACACGAAAACGGCCTGATTCCCAAAACGCAGGTTATATCGGGCAACTCTATAACAACACACTAAAATTGCAAAAAATATAGAATATACCAGCTGCTCCGCTTTGTTCAACGCTGGTTCTCATCTGTACCTTACAGATTTTTAAATATAATAGTCCTTGTCAGCTGGGTTCGTACCCCACTGCGCGAGTTCTTGCGGTTGATTTCTTTGGAAATGTGGTGAAGCCCGATTGTTATATACAGGTTGGCAATCTTTTTCGCCAAAACGTAGATGTGATTGTCGAGTGGATCGCAGTCCAACAGATGAGGCTCTAACTCAGAAAATAATGCTTGTTCAACACCTCCGTTAACACCTCTACCATGAGGCGATCACTGTTTGCATGCAATGATTTTAGGTCCTTACATTGAACCTGTAGGGCACGAAGCCCTTTCTCCACAGTGTGGCAGATCTTCAAGACGTCTTTCGATGGCGCCACCAGACCACCGTTTGTTTTCACAGCTGTTAGTGGTGGCAGCTCACTAGAGAGCAGTGCAGAGCAGCATTCATCGCAAGATGTGCCACCATAGACTTTCCGTGCCACAAATCCTGCTATATATGGCACTACTGCGCCGACAACAGGCAAAAGGCTTGTGGGGAAGTCCACTCGCTGGGTGCAATCGTTATCATCGTCGGGTGGCTGCAACAGTGATGATCGTCTTAATGACGCCAGAGACGTTGGTGACTCAACAAGGCTTACGTCGCTTGAGGGACAGAGAACAGTCACAATATCCCGAGAACAGTTTCCAGCCTCTGATGATGCGACCTCTGTTCTAATAAGAAGACGCTTGTAGGCAGCTGTAAACTGGCAGGCAGTGGGGTTGTTGTTATAGCCGCCCTTTCCTCTTACGCAACCAAAAAATGTTTCCAGGTGGTCTTGAGACATTTTGTGGGTGAGCAAGTACTGCAGCTTCCCTGTTGCCACAAGCCTATCGAAGAGTGCTGTGACACTGCGCATACAGATCAGGAGTCCCACAAATCCAGTTTTCTTGAGGCTCTCGATCACTGGTTTTTCTTTTGCGTCCTTGAGTTTTGTTATGTACAATTCAGCCTTCTCGAAAAAGGTCCTCATGGACGCCTCATTTGCCTTTCGCAGAGCTGCCTTGTATGACCTGCCAAACGGGTTTCTTGAGTTGAGGACATCAAAAAGACGGTCAAACATTCGTATGAATTCAGCCGTAGCATGTGCGCCTTTGAATTGCGGAAGCTTTAACGTGGACTCGCAAAAGTCGAGTGCGTCTGCCACAGATGAACTGAGCGTTTGCACGGCAAGGCGAACTTTCATCTTTTGTTTTGCCCACTCAATATGAGCTCTTGTCAGCCTGTTCCCTAAGTGTAGTCCCTCATCCCGTTGCAACTTCTCGAGTTCTTCAATAAAGGACCACCTGACTTCTGATCCATTCAGGTCAACAAGGTGGTCTACAGACCCTAGGCAGTTTCGGATAAGCTTTAGCATGTGACATGCATCTAGAATTACAGACACCTTGTTTGGAGAATCTGTTTGTTCTGTTGAACTGTTAAAGCTTGTGTCAAATTTAGGGGAGCTGTACTTGAGATCAGCCCCTAGGCACCGAGCCATAGTGAAGTTCGAGGCGGCACCATCAAATGTTAATGATGCTACTTCAACATCTATTGACGAGAGTCTCGACAGACATTCTTGTGTTAGTGCAGCTCTTTCAGATCCAGAAAGAGACTCGATGAAGAAATACCCCAGAGGTATTTTTAGTCGCATATTCATGCCGACCAGCATAAAAACGCAGACATTTGTCGCTTCGGGCAGGCTATCATCGGAGATACCTGTTCCAAGATCGATGTAGCCTACCACTTTCTTCCCAACAAGCTGAACATGTTTTTTGATGGCCATGTCATCCATCATGAGTGCTGCGATCAGGGGCTTGTCCTGGCTTTTGGCTAAATTTTTAATAAAATCAAAAGCCTCAGAGGTAAAACCCGGATCGCCATTTACAGATTTGTACCACTCACGCAACGTACGTTGCGAAGGCAAAGCGTTGTTAAATTTCGACCGCACATACTCATACGCTGCCGCAGAGTAGTAGTGCAGAGTGAGTGCGAATGCACGTAGCTCTGGGGGGTACATCTTGTTTGTTTTTTCATGGGCTCGGACAAGAAGCTGTTGAATTTCAGGCGAGAAAGTTGCTTCAAAGACCTCAAGGCCTTTTTCTGACAAAAGTTTCCTCTCTTTTAGCTCCTTGATCAAATTTTCTGACGCATCACACCGCTTGCTTAGCCTTCTTTTGGATTGCTGCAGTGTCTTAACTTTCTTCTTTAGTTGGAGAACCTCTTGTGCAGACTCCTCTGTCTTGGAACGGTACCAATCCTTCGCCGGCGAAGAAGGCTCAGATGGCATTTCAACCGCTGCCTCAGCACTGACGACAGGTGACAGCGCAGTCCGACACTTAGTTCAGAAGCCGGGTATAATGGTCCCACCCACTGCTTAGACTGACTAGAAACGGGATTACTACCTCGGGGATCTTTTTATAGTTTCGGTGCGGAAGTTTAGCGTGCCAGCGTGCCCGTATTTATGCACGCACAGTGAAAAAAAAAAAAAAGTTGGACAAGTAAGTGTACGTGACGTGCGCTTTGTCAGAGAGTGGTGTGATTTTGAACAGCACGTAGGAAACGAGAAACTGTGCCTACACATTCGGAAATCTATAGCCTATTTACCGTAACGAAAATGTACATTCGTGATGGTACTCACTGGTTTCTGGAGATGCGCAGGGAACGCAGGAAAAATGGTAGGAATGCTCCCTGGTCGCAGTCTGGTCGTTTGGCCCGTCCTGTCAAAGCAGTTGGCTTCAAAGTGCTCCGAGCAGAGAACGTCCGCATTCTTAGGCTCCCAGCCATCCCTCTGAACAGCACGCTGCCATGCGTCACGCAGCGTCTTGTCTTTCGGAAACCTGCGGTACCACACGCACAAAATAGGTTATTCAACTTCTACTCGCCAGCTGAAAAATGCTAATGAAAGTAAGTTTTCAGCTGAAACCGCGCTTCTCGAATGAGGTAGCGCGCCGAAGGAGACAAGCGATTGAAAGCGCTTTTTCCCGCGTACTTACACGTGAAAAGTGATTCCTGGCTTCTGTTTCGCACAATTAGTGCAGCCGAAGGCGACACACGAGCTCACCATAACGTCCGGAATCGTG